CAAAATTTTCAGAAGACATGCAACCTTCAGCTCGAAAGTTTTTCCAAGACCAACCCTGCCACAGGCCTGTTTATCCCCTTAAGATAAGTTTCATAGCTTTCTATACACAAGAGCGACCGAATTAAATTCAAAAGTCGTCATTAGGGACCATGTCTTAATGGCTAAAGATCCAAATATTGCGTTATGAAAACTTTTAAACCATGTAAGCCATGTTATTGGAGAAATACCAATTTGAAATTTCTTATGGCCTTTTTTGGTCTAAATTTTATTTTACAAAAGCTTTCAATGACTCTTTTACATTAGCAATTTCTATTTGCAAATATCTTTCCAAATTGTGTTTCCTTAGCCTTATGCAACACCAGGTGGGATGAGGTTTCCTAAGGTTATAAGATAGAGAGCTTTTATGTGCTGGCGTGAATTTCCAGGCTTATTTTTTTTTAATCAGCAAAAGTAAATATGTCTATTATCCATCACTTAGGAGTTTTAAGCGTGAATTTGTGACTTCCTAAGGTTTTTCTCTGAATTCGACCTCCTGCTATGCCAGCCCTTTCATCTGAGCCTGCGTGAGACATCTGCGCCATATTGACCCTTGTTAACACTTAGCTAATTTTGTGTAATTATAACTAAGATTGTTGGGCGACTTTTTTGTCAGCTTAAGGATTACATCTGTGATCGTTTTGCCATAACGGAAGTCATCTCTAAGTTTGAGACTTTTTCCTTCTTCTTATTGCGTTTTTTTTTTTGTGGCGTCACAGGAGTGACTAACTAATACAGGCACGGCGGAGGCTATATTTTCGGGGTGGGGGGTTGGATTATTATCTCTGAAATATTCTTTCGAAAAATTTCCGACAAGTTTGTTTTTTTTTTAGGGTTGTAGCTTCTTAATTTTTTTTTGGTTTTCTTTCTCTTATTCTTTTAAGCTGAAAGAAAATATAAATTTTCTTCTCGCAAAATGTAGGAGGGAAAAAGCTCCCCCCCTCGTTGTTAGTTAAACAAAATCAAGAGACGGTTGTTATGGACACATGGAAATACGGAATGGAAAAACAAGAACCTAAATATAACTAACTTAATAAACAATCAACGATGGTATCTCAGAACAGAAAGAAATAATTGTAGTTTTCATTCTCAGTCGGTAAAACTTGCCGCAGTTTGTACTTCGATGAGTAATCTTACGTGAAATAACTGGCAAGACTAGGGACAAATCATCCTCGGTCAGGGCAGAAGTTTTCAGTATAATTTGCAATGAGATTTTTGCAGACAGTATTCCTCTTGCATTATGTGTTGAGACTGAAACTTTTCTCCTTGAGTAACCCTTCATTGAACAGCCCTAACAAACAAACATAGCTGTTTTGATGAAACTCCCGAAAGGACTCTAAGCAATGCTTCACTCTGATTGGGCAGAAAAACACAAATATCAGAAGCCAGATCGATTGCGACTGTTTGGAACTGGTGTGATAAGACAATATCCCCAAGGGCTCCTTGTCCTGACTTGAAGGGAACAAGACCCCTCTGGATCTCTGAGGACAAGGAAAACAAGAGAGATCCATTTCTATTTGGTACAATGACAATTTGCTCTTCAATTGGGAGGGGTAGGGGGATTTTAAAAATGGCATTTTTGGGCAAAGAAGGCAGGTATCTCAATGTGATTTTGATTAAAGGTTGATTCTTAAAAACATTTTCATTATAAGTATCATCATCATTATTATCATAATTACTACAGTTATCTTAATTTTTAATATTGCATTAAATGTCAGAACACATCAGTATTATCCTTGCCGCTTCTTTTTAGATATTAGGCAATTTCTGGGTTTCGGTACCATCTCGGACTGGCTGACCACTTGCCTTGATTTCATGCAAGAGTTTTGAATCCCACTAGCAAAATGAAGTCCTGTGTTAACTCGCAGGAGAGTCAAAGAAGGGCACTGCATGTATTCTTGAATACTACTAAAGGATCTTATACAAGCCATGGAGGCTATGAAGCTATTCCCCTATACTTTTGAAGAAAATGGACATAAAGACAAAAATAACATTGAATTTATTACAAATTATTTGCATTTGATAACTTTTACACAGTAGCTTTTAACTTTATAAAATCAAGTTTGTCCATGCAGTCTCAATATCTGCTTAACTTTTGCAAAGTATCATGTTATGGTTTGTCTGCATTACTGTGTTTTTTTTAGGTGTCACACAACAACACTTCCCTGGTTCCTTCTGGAAAAACATTGTTGTGTGACATTCCAAACAAAATTGGCCGCACAAGAGACTATGAAAGAAACCATAGATTCTGAAGTTTGGTTTCTTGACAATTCAACTACACTTCAATTTCATGAATTAAATCCTAACAAGTTGTTTTCCCCTCTTTTTAACAAAAATTACAGGGTATGCAAGGCATATAATAAACATGTCACAATTGTCAAATATATAAATATATAAACTTGCAAAGTTATTCATAGCAGAAGAGTTTAGGACTAAACAGTAAGTTAAGAGTTTTGATACAGGCTACCCTCATAAAGGCTTTTGTCAGGTTTCCTTCAGAGTTTGCCAGTATCCATTTATATCTGGGGTGGAGAGAGTCACTGTGGAAGTTAAATGTCCTGCCCATGAATGTAATACTATGACCTTGCTGAGTCTCAACCTGGACATTTTTGACCTGGAGACCAGCACTTAAGCAAGCCCTAATTATTCCATAGTTAGACCCTCTCAAATAAAAATGTTTCTTTCAAGCTGTATGCCATTCATTTTGTTCAAAAATTACTTGACAAGAGGATTTGGAGTTGTTTCAACTAAGATGGCAACCCTTGGCTAATTTTTTGGTCCATTACCATCACTAGTAGATGGAGAATGTACGAGGTTACATTGGTAAACACTTCTTTGGGCTGAAAGGTTCACATGACAAGAAATGTCAGTCTCCAATCAACTGGACTACCATCATAATGATGATGCTTTTGCCTCTTTTAAACATAAAAAAGCAAGATCCCATCACTGGATGAAGCCATTCAGTTTCACAGGTCAGTTTTCTGTCCTTGAACGTTCCTGCCTTTAAACAGACTATGAAACTTATTTCAATAAACTAAATATACTTCCTGATCAGCAAGCAACCTGGTTGCTGTGATCATCCTCAAGTGATTTTTCAGGACTTTCCTGGCTGTCTGTAGAGCCTTGAGACTTCTGACTCAAACAGTCATTGATCTGACCAATAAGTTCTGCACTGACATTGTTTTCAAACAAAACAAGTTCTTGCATTTTTGTGGGGTAATTAGCAATAACAGCAAAAAACATCTCTGCTCCCTTTTCACTCACCCCACTTCCTTCCAAATCAACAATTTCTAGTGAAGAGCTCGCAGCCAGGGCAACAGAAAGCACACCAGCACCATAATCACCGATGTTGTTGTAGTCAAGATAAAGATTTCGTAATTGTGAATTTGCAGCAATGGCTATGGCAAGCTGGGTCCATCCCAGATGAGTAACTCCATGGTTTGCTGACAGTGTAAGTTCAACTAGTCCCTCTTTTCCTTCTGTTGAGGGTAGAAGTGTACAAATTTGTTTGATACCATCATCTCCGAGTTGGCAATCACCAAAATCAAGAGATTGCAGTCTGGGATGTATCTGAAGAGCAGGCATCAAACACTCCAGGCCCTCATCTCCAAGGGATGTACCATGCAAGCTACAAATGCCAAATATAATGATTGAAACATGTGAGAAACTGCCAGCCATCTACATCTCCCAATCCCAATATGAGTATTTCTGTGTGGACTCCAAAAGAATCTTTAGCAGGAAGGAGAAAGGAGGTGGTGTTGTTGGTGTAATAACACTTAGTACCTGCTCTTGGTGTTGATTTATGGAAAATTTCTCAGGGATCTGAAAAAGACTGCTTGGAGGGGCATGGAAAGGGAACCCTAAAGCTGAATCATTGGATTGTTGCAGTATGATTGCAAAGGAAATACACTTATAGAGAAATATTTCAATGGACCAATTTACTGAACTGTTAAGTTCCACTTAACTGAAAGCTTTGCATGTGTTCTTGAGAAAACTTGCGGCATCTCTCCAAACAATTTTAAGATAAAAAGTCATTTGAAAGGTGCTGTGAAGCACGAAATACAGTAAGTCGGGCAAAGAATGATAACTCTTGTCGACTTCATCACTACAAGTTAGTGTGAAGTGGTGGTTGTGAGTTTAAAGTACAAGCTAAATCGAATGGTTGTACTTACAATAATGATGTGAGATATTTATTAGCTACCAGAGCCTCGGAGAGCCATTTGATTCGGTGCTTTCCGTTGCATACTCCCAAGTTTAAATTAAGCTGAGCAAGAGATTCGCATTCTTTCAAACTGTCCATCAACTTCTTGAAATCTTCGTCATGAATTCTACAGCCCCGTAGAGACAGGATTCGAATGCTGTTGTCGTGCAGCGAGTCACAAATTCCCTTGACCTCGGCGTCCCTAAGATCTTCGCCAGTAATTTGAATGGTTCCCAAGAGCATTTCCGTGAGGTTGTTAGTTGATATATAAGGCAATCGTAAACAGGATTCAAATAAATTCGTCTCTTACTCGTGGCTTGTTCAATAGATTGCCATAGTTACCATTCCAACCGAGTCTAAATAGGGGCTGACTGATAGGCACAAGAGACTGGGTTCAAGCCCAGGGTCTCCGAGAAAGAAAAATTATCAAATTGACAGGAAATTGAGGAAATCAGCGAGGATTGATGGATGAGAGTTGGCCATTTCAGTTTATGAACGAATCAGTATAAAAAAAAAAATTAGCGAAGCATAATTTCGAAATTTGTGCAGATTTGAGCGAGGGTGCTCTAAAGTAACATTGTTTTAAAAAAAAAAATTTTGACCATGTTCTCTCCATACCTTTCAGTTTGCTACCCATAGAAGAATACTGGTTTGGGTCACTGTGCTAGTATCACGCTATTTGAACTCTTGATGAACATTTTGTTCATTTTCAACTCCGTGAGAGCAATCAACTCATGTTTCCAGATAATAATTCAAACTGCAAAAAAATCCTGTTTGAAAAATCAAACTCAACCTGGGTTTTTGTTTCTCTGAAATATAAATTGCTGATAAAGCAAACCAATATGTATAAAATTTAGAACTGTCTTGCATATGGAATATAATCTCATATAGTATTGTTAATTTCATCTTGATATTTTCATGGCTTAGAACCTGCTGGCCTATCTACTTCCAAGTTAAACAATCAAATGAAGCCTCAAAGGGTCTTAAAGAAAGTGCACACCAGAGAACTCTTTACTCAAGCATTTTACTCTCTTATTACTGTTACAAGCTAAATTATGAACACTTGAAAAACCACACTAACCAGATAGAGTAGCACATCTTTTATAGCTAAAGAAAAAAAATATAATTATAATAATTACTACCATAATGATAATTAAAATTCCTATAATGATAACAAAAAAGATGATGATAATGATAATGATAAAAATCACCACTAATAATAAGTTATTATCTGTGATGAATTAAAAGTGGTCATAATTGCTATCCCTTTAAGAATATATAATCAGACCCAATTCCTCTAGATAAGTAATACTCTTAATTAAGTATTTGTTTTCTATTTTTCATTTTTCTTCTTCAAATTTCCCCACCTGTAATTATAAAATATTTATTATTTCAGTATAACCATGAGCAGAAACCCTAACCTGCACCACCTGAGTTAATTAATAATTTCTATAATAAGCAATATGTCTAAGAATTATCTGCTCTTTGAATTTTCATGCAGCTATATTTATTAGCCCTTATTGGCCTTTGTCAACTGTGTTTTTTCTTCCTGTTTTTCTTTCTATGTAAACAAACAGCAAGCCTAGCCCAATCAAAGAACTTCAGCTACTTTGGCAGCTGTATATCTATATAATAAAAACTAATATACATGCATAGTATGTATTTCTAAAATACAATCTGTCATCATTAATAAGAGAAATTTCTGCAAAATATCTTCATTTGTCCATCAACATATTTGTTCAGTTGATATTATCACTACCTAATATATTACGATCATAATTACAACTAACTGTTTTATACTCCAAACAGAGCTAAAAATTCAATCAACATTGACACTAAATTAGCTTCACATCTTCCAACATGCCCACGTCATAACTTCCAAAGCTGAGATTCTTTCTTGCTGTCACAAGCTCTGATCATAAGTTTCTTGGTTGTAATGTCGACCTCAAGGCATTTATTGTCATTCTCATCATCCCCTAACATGATAGCTCCATTTTCATGTCTCCATTTCTGCCATAAAAAAAGTATGCTGTTTACAGTGCACTACTTGGGGGATTATAGGGAAAGGGGGATGGGAGAGGGGGATGGGAGAGGGGGATGGGAGAGGGGGATGGGAGAGGGGGATTATGAGAAGGTGATGGGTGAGGGGGATTACAAGAAGAGGACTGCAGAGGGGCAGAATCTCATCCCAATCAAACTTTTGATTGGCCTAGTAATACATTTTTTAATAAAAATTTTCTCATTGGGAATGAAATTAACTGTTTCAAAACTTACCTTGGTCTTCCTGGTATGCTGTATCTTGACTTATTTTTAAGTAAGTCCTCATAACAATATCATTTGCAATACAACTAGGGCATATTAATTCATCAAACACCCCCTTATGAGAATAAAGCAGCTAATTTCATAACAGACATTAGGAAGAAAACAATTAAGACCCCAGGGGTGACTAGCTTCCAGGATGAATACATTTGGAGGTGATACCCCTTTAACCCTTTGACCCCTTTGAGTGACTAAAATCTAATTTCTCCTTACAACATAACCCTGAATCTCAGATTAGGGTCACAGGAATTGAGGAAATGATCAACAACTAAAGATGCTCTTATTTTGATTGTAAAACAAGTTCTTGTTGTCAGGACCTTAGCTAATGTACGGTGAATAGTAAGAAGAATATACATACTGATGTTAGGTGTCTAGGGTCAAACAAGAATAAATATGACCTCAGATGTCTGAAGGATCCTTTAATTCAAAATCATCACTATCAGCTTAACCCTCTAACTCCCATAAGTGACCAAGACAGAATTTCTCTATACATTATTTATACAGTAACAAGCAGACAAGTGATGAGAATAGAGAAAAATAATATCAATTTTGGGTTATTAGCTAATCCAATACCAAATTCTCCAAACTAACATCATAAGAATTGTACAGCAGACAGTAAGGAGAATTACTTATGTGATCTTGGGAGTGAAAGGGTTCACTGACACTGTAAGGATGAGAGAGCTGGAAAGCACACATTGCTTTGGCATGATACATGATAGAGAGCTTTTGATTGAATGCTGTAAAATCAGATTAAACCAGTTGAGAGAAGTCACAACACACACCAATCAGTACAAAGAAAAAAATAGCCTAAAGAGCTAGTAAATACTCAATTAAAAGTAAAAAACAAGCAAACTGGCTAAAGCCCAGCAAAACAAGGATGACCAAGTTATAATTGGTTTAAGTTTTGCATCTGATTGGTTGATGCATGAGTTTTCTCAACAAATAACAGAGCAAAGTAAAATAAAAACAATGTCTTAATCTTAGATTGTTTACAACACTCAATTGAATACTCTCAATCACATAATGTGTTCACCATGTTAAATGTTCTTTTCAGCTGAGCAGATCTGTCACAGAGGAAATGAGCTCTTACCTGATTTATGTCATCAGTATCACATGTTGCTGTCTGTACTGAGCTTCCATAAAAACCATCGGCAGACCTCAAGCAAATGTCATGAACATAGTTTTTGATAAACCCATTTGATAAAGCCCAAGCCTATCAGAGGAAAACAACAGTGAGACAAAATAATCACTACTAATAGCATAAGAACCTGAAATAGAATCCAACATTGTCCTTAGAGGTTGAATAGCATGATGACGTCATAAATATCATGTTCCTCAAAGGCAAGAAAATTCATGTTTCTCCCTATATTATTCCATTTTTGTAAAGAATAGAAGTGTAATTTAGAAAAAAAAAACCATAAGAACCACTTTCTTTTAACCCTTTAAGTTCCACTGGTGTCACCTTGACAGAATTCTTCCTTACATCATCAGTAGGATATCAGGCAGACAAGTAACCAGAATACAGAAAAATGTAATTAAGGGGACTATTGGTTGATCCAATTCCAAATTCTCCAAACTAACATCAAATGAATTGTATAGTAGACAGTAAGGAGAATTACTAATGAGATCTTGGGAGTTGAAGGTTAAATGACACTGTCTTTCTGTTTCACTGTCTATCTTAAGAGTGATTCAATTGCAACATAATTGTAACTTATGGGGTTCAAGCCTTAGGATGAAAAAAAAAAGATTAAATACAGAAAATTTTAACTCGAGGCCTTTGATGATAAAACAAATTCAATCTTTCTCAGACTTGTTTCTAATATCAATTAAAAGTAAAAATAAAATTTATTATTGAACTGCATATCTAATAATAAAAGAAAATGAAATGTATTTTTTTAAGTGGCAAAAATAAAAAACAAGAAGTCATTTTTATGTGTAATCAAACCAAAAATTAAAACTCATAACATTATATTTAATTTTACCAAAGGTTTAAGTGTCTCAAAAAGGTAAAATTAAAGGAGTAAGAAGCAAAAGAAGTTATGAGCATACAAAATGAAGAGAAGTTCACCTGGTTTCTTCCTTCACCATGGCATTCGTACAATTCAACATCACTTCCTGTTGGCTGTTCCACTGAATCAATACACATTTCATTTTTAAAAGCACTTGATCTTATATCTCTTCCCCTAGTTCTATAATCATTCAAACATGTAAAAAAATTAACAACAAACACATCACCAGATGCATTTAAACTCAATACAAAATCAAGTGAGTTTAGCGAAACTTTAGTTGGTATAACTTTCCTAATATAATCTTTAGGATCTGCATGGTAACTATTTCAATTGAGTGTTAAAAAACAGATCATAAAGTCTACATATTTCATGGGATACAGATAGGACTAACATTTTTCCAAGAATTCCTTGCATTGAAGAAGAATCAAACTTTCCACAAAGATGATGATATGGAATTCAGGAAATTTATCCTACATTAACTTGTAAAATTTTGGCCTTAACCACTGGTTATGGAGATGACACACTTGAAATTTGATATAAATTACGTGTAATGCTGATTTTAATAGAGATTTATGTAATATGTACAGGATTCAAAGCTGAAATCATGGCAGATTCATTAAAATAATGAAGGAGTCACTTCTCCTTGATATTTGGGACTGGCTTGGTGGGATAATGGTCAGTACACTGGTCACTTATGGTTGAGAAGTCTGGGATTGAGACCTGACCAGCTCACTATATGTTGTGTTCCTGTGAAAGAAACCTTTATCTCATTATTCCCTTAAAAAGCCTCTCTCAACTCAGGACTTATGAATGGGTGCTGGAAAATTGTTATGGATGCCTGGTGAAATGCTGGAGGGTAAAGTTGCAATGGACAAACATCCCATCAAGGGGGAGTGGGGGGAGAGTAACAATAATCCTAGTCGCTTCATGCTGAGGAAATCAGGATAAGCTCTGGCTGGGTGAGCCACTTAGCTGACCAGTACAGAGTTTACTTTAATTGCTTGTTTTTTAAATTTTATTTTCTTATCAAAGATTAGTACCTCAATGGTATAGTTGTTGGAGTATATTCTTCAACTTTCTCCTCTTCATTTTGTTTTACTCCATCACTTAACACTTGCAGAGCTTGCTTGGCTTTTTGGTGCCTCTGTAAAACTGCCTCTCCTAGCTTTTTGACCTTCTTATCCAAACTAGTCACTGTCTGATTTATCTTGTCATTGAAAGTCTTCATAGCATTAATAGTAGCCTTTTTGCTCTCATTCACCTTTTCACTGCAGATTGAAACAGTTTTTGAGTTTCACACAATAGTGCACATAAGATTTACTGAAAAGAGATACTGATTTGGAGACATGAAAAACTAGGATGTGGTATGGAAACTGACAGAGGTGATGGATGAGGTGAACCACATCGGCAAGTTAGTAAGGAAGTGAATGCAAGATTCATGCTAATCCACTTATTATCATCCTGTGCATCCAATGGTACAAAGTAAGAATGAGGGAAAATTGGTGAGATGAATAGTTTCATTTAATAAATTCCTCATAAACTTTAGTAAATCATAGTCAGATTGTGGATGAAAAAAATTTATGTGCCAAGCATACAATCTGTTCTAATAAATAATTAGAATAAGGCCACAACAACAAACTTTTTCTGTCCCCATTCTTTTATGTTGTGCGCCAACAAAATGATCCGTGGTTTAAAACCCTTTACACCCTAACATCAGAATTCATATTCTCAAAACTACTCCCCATACATTTTTTATGGTACTGACAAGAAGAATTTGACTGTATATTCTTGTGACATTCAAATTTGATTCATTGGGGATATGAACGAAGACATAAGATACCAATTTCTCTTAGACGTCACTTACAGTCAGACTATTAAAAGACTTTTCTCTTATTCCTTTAATTGTCCTTGTTGGAGGTTGGTGTAAGATTAATTAAAAGAATTAAAAGCACTGACAACTGAAAAATTTGAATTTTGGACTCACCTCAATAAACTAATCTGCTCTTGAAGATAATTACCCACTGATACCATCTAATGCAAATGGGGAATATAATAGAAATTAATGCGCTATGTACAGATGGGTCATCTTGTTTCTTACTTCTCCTTACTGTCTACCATACAGTAATATTGTAATGTTAGTTTCAATTGGAAAAATTGCATTGAATCAACTTAAACGGGAAGAGTTCCGTTTGATCCCAAACTATTCTTAACCAAACCTGTACTCCCAAAAGCTTCTCATTATCTTCACCATTGTGTGGGGTTACACGGAATTCTTGCCCTTTCAAATCAATTTCAGTCGATACTAGTCAGTCATCTTTTATAGGCCAGTCGATAACACGTGAAAAGTACCTGCATATTTGTGGTATCATAAGTTCGCGTCCAAAACAGCGTCCTCCACACAAAGATAATAACAATCCAGGTAACAACGCACAGGAAGATCAAGATTTTCCTCTGCATTTGGCCACGGCATATAAGCTTTACAAAACTTAGACACGGAGAATCCTTTGGTATCTAATAGCCACTTGCAGTTGAACCGGCGCAAATGCGACTTCAATTTCAGATTTCAGTCACACTGTTCCTGATTAGATCTTCAAAGATAAGTGCATACAATCTAATCGATCTCGAAAGAAGAGGAAACCCGTTTGAAGTTTCTTCTTGGAAACCAATAGTTGTGTACATTAGAATACAATGAAAAATTGAAGATCATTATCACTCTGGGAAGCGAGGTTGGGGTCTGGTAACTAAAGATGGCGGCCAAGTTACTGGATGCGCCGGATATACTTTGCAACAGCTTGACATGAAAACTTTACACTTGTTATGGCTCAAAAGGATGACCAATGGATCCGTCTTTTTAATGTATCGGACCCCAGAAGAGCTTACGCCGGTCACACTTTGTACAAAGTCACTTCCAAGGTATCTGAATGTATCTTGTCGGTAAACGCTCTCTTCAGCTATTCCTTTCAATTTAGGTCTATTTTCATCAGTTCGTTGAAAAGTAAATGTTTTACTTTTGTTCTTTATATTCATAGCTGAGAAAGTAACTTTTATCTCATTTTGATTGCCGTTTACTTAAATGTATGGGGAAATTTAAGCTTGGAATGATTATGCCTGATGTGATAATTAAATAACCCGTTGTCGATTCGATCGTTACATACGATCGATGTTAACATTGATGTTTCTCCTGTGTAAGATGCAATACCCCTATTTCTACATTCATAGTCCCCATTTATCACTTTCGATCTGCAATTTTACAAAAAAGAAATTTCTGATAATGTTAGTCGATACGTTGTAACATTCAAGACTACATGCAGTGTATACTGCTGTTTACCTGTCATGGTTTTCCTCAGTTGATTCAAGATTGTCTGTAGAGGCTGGTTAGGCTTGCTTCTTATTACTGGGTATTAATGTTTTTCATTTATTTTCCATTTGTAAGGTTTTTCAAAAGGATTTTCCTGAAGGAGCGACAGAGGTTTGTTTATTCTAAGTGCATGCTGTGAAAAGCCAGTCTACTAAAAAATGTTCTTTTGTAATGATCATATTAATTGAAATATTTTCTCAAAATATAATTTCAATGTTCCAAAGTTAAGCTAGGTTAAATTTCTGATGTTTTCGTGGATAAGGGTCATTTCCTGAACAGCAGCTGGTAATCAAATAGTAGATTAAGCTAAATAAGTGATAATTTTATCAAAAACTTTAGGAAATTACTTTTTCTGGAAGAAACCTTCTAGTTGTAAATAGGTAGACAAAGAGTGTCCTATTTTAAATGTTTTGAAAAACCTCTCAAATCTAACAGGAGGCAGATCAGTTGATCATTTGTGGAGTGTAGTTGGGGAACCCTAGAACAAAGCTAGCTTGTGGTAGATTATGAGGAATTGATCCACCGCATCACTTGAACAAGGACCACTGAATCACAAAATTCCTATGCTATAACCAGGTGGCCACACTGTTTTTTGTGTATTTCTATCATCAATATAAAATTGTTTTTTTTTCTTTGGTAATATAGATCTCTGTTTGGAGACGATTCAGTGACTTCAAGAAACTCCACAGAGAGCTTTTAAAGATTTACACCCAGAAACATGCACAAGACAAGTTTCCTCCTTTTCCTAAGGCCACATTCTTTGGTAGGTTAACTGTTTAACTCCCATGAGTGACCAAGACAGAATTTCTCCTCACAATGTCAATATTACATCAAGCATATGAGTGATGAGAAAAAAGAAGAATTTCAATAGGGGGATCATTTGTTGATCCAGTACCAAATTCTCAAAACTGATGTCATAAGAACTGTATAGCAAACAGTAAAGCTAATGAGATTTTTGGAGTGAAAGGGCTCTCTCATTTATTCCTAGCATCATGATCAAAGTACTAAAACTAAATTTTTGAAGGCTGTTCTTGATGCATCTACAGACTGAAGAAAAATGTGTCAAATCTTTTTGCACATTTCAATTTGTTTTTGGACATAGATTTAATCATAGCTGTCATACAATAAAATTAACAACCAAAAAGGACAGCTATGAGAGAGAAGATTATCCAGATACAGGTTCTGTTACATGCCTCATCAATCTTTTGGCTCCTAGAAGTGACCATTACATAGATTCTCAGTACATTGCTTGACACAGTGTCATGCTTGCTTACACATGTAATTAAAATGAAGAAAGAAAATTGTTAATCAGGGGGAATGGTCATAGAATGACATCAATTTCTTAGCAAAGAAATGTAAGGTTATTGTTTTGGCAAAGAGAATTAACTTTTGGGAGTTAAACCTTTAATTCTCAGAAGTGATTAACATGAAATTTCTCCCTATAATAACCATACATTATTAAGCAAACAGGTAATGAGAATATTCAAACTAATCAGGTGGAAGTTGTTATCTTGATCTGACACCAAATTCTTGTAACTAATTTACAAGGAGATGTGTTGCAGCTAGAGGGGAGAATTAACTATCAGATCTTGGTACTTAAATGGTCAGAGGGTCTAAAGAAGGTAGATAAGGTTAATGGTATTTTCTGGCTCTGCATGCTGTTAACAATAATAATGAGCAGTGTTGTCTTAGGTAGAGTGTCCCTTGCAATCTATGGTCCACATGAATTTCTTGTTCTAAAAACTTTCAAACCAGTTATGGGCGTGAATATAGAAGCAACTGAATTCAGTAAATACATTATACTGTAGGTCGTTTTGATGATGCAGTTATTGAGGAAAGAAGGAAAGCTTCCTTAGAACTTTTGACATTTGCTGGAAGTATTCCTGATCTCTTTACAAGCCAAACATTTGTGAAGTTCTTTGAGGTATGTGATCATAAATTTTGTTAACATTAATTTTTCTTAATATTACTTTAAATTTGTGGCAATTCTATGAATACTTCTGTCAACCCCTAAGAGTGACTGGCTTCTAATTTCTCTTAACAGTATCACTCCTGAATAAAATGTTTAGGTCATAAGAATAAAGAAAATGATCACCAATTTTTAGGAGCTCCTGATTGTCAAACAAAATTCAGGTTGTCATTACCCTAACAAATGCCAAGTGGTCAGTGAGGAGAATATGAGTACTGATGTAAAGGTGTAAAGGGTTAATGATACTATCACTTGTTTTTTTTGTTTTTTTGCTTTTTGTTTTCAGAAATTCATCTTTACCATGTAGAGAAAGTACTTAATAATTACTCATTTGTCAATGGAGATTACTCCAGCCTGAAGGTTTTTTTTTTCTTAATTCCATTCTATATCTTAGGGGGCATTCCCTGATAACCAAGTTCACAATGATTGTGTTGCAAGCAGAGAAAGTAGCTTATCTGACACAGAAGGTGACATTATTAAGGACAGTTCCTTTTCCAGAGACTCAGTAGATACCAGTAGATCTGGTAATACGGTTCAAAACTCACAAGGGGATAATTCTGAAGAGTCATCCATTCTTGGTGGAGTGTGGCTTCACAAGCAGCCATCTCTGTCAGAGGGTCTAGACATTCTTAGCTCAGATGAAGAGGAAATTGATGGACAGACACCAGATGGTGATGCAAGCATTGGAACGCCGCCAGCTCTTACTGAACAGTCAAGTGGGAAAGCTGATCAGAATGAGAGAGAGGAACAAGATGATGTTTTTACCCATGATATCAATGCAAGTTTAGAAGAAAAACTTGCAGATGTGTCTGACAAACATGATCATTCAAGTAGCACAGAGCCTCCTCGTTGGCTTGTGAGAGCAATTTCCATTTGTAGTGAGGGAGAGGATCTTGAAATTCTTGCTTCTGAAGCTGATGAAGAAGAACTGCGTTTTCCTCAAGCTTTTTCTGACCACAGTCATTGTGAGGTAGAGGAACAGAGTACTGTTGATGACTCAACAAGACAAGAGGAAGGAAATCAGTGTACTGATTCTCAAAATGGTCCTCATCTACAAGAAGTTTTATCAGATACCTCAAAGTCTTTAGACCAAGGTTCCAAAAGTAATAACTTAATGTCAATTGTATGTGAAACTGGAATGAACTGCAAGACAGAAATGATTTGTGACAAGACATCACATTCAATCAATAATGATCCTCTAGAACCTTCTGATTCTTCATGTTCAACAAAGGATTCAAATTCAGCTAGTACTGTTGATGACAGACAGTCATTTATAGGTGTCAAGAGAGATACAGGGAACAACAAAATAGTACGCCCAAGAACTGTTTCTGATCTGACAAACATCTGCATTGATCCTAAAGAAAGTGACTATTTGTATGCTGCAGGACACACTATACACAAGGCACTGGACTGTGAAGTGAATGGGAATTATGAAGAGGCATTCAGCTTGTACAAGACTTGTGTTGGTGTATTATTGAGTGGTGTACAAGGTACTTTTATTATAAATGAAGATCACAAAAAATTCAATAACACATAGAATAAGTGGAAAGCCCCCCTTGCTAAATCAATAAACCCCTCACTCTCTCCTCCCTGCCACTTGAAAAGTAAAACAGTATTTGTTGTAAGTTATTTTTTGATCTGGGTAGTAAACATGTAGCATTTACATACAACTGATAGTGTTTGACTTATTATTTAGTTTTTGTTTTGAATGTTACTTTACTGGTCATTTGTTTGATTGTAAATTTTTTTTTTAACTTACAATTATAGTTTGTGCCTAGAGAGTGAAAGAAAGTGAGATTGCAAAAATTTTTGGCTATTTTTCTTAAGGTGAAAAGGATGTTAAAAGGCGAGAGGCAGTGAGACGTAAGACTGCTCAGTACCTGTTGAAAGCAGAAGCTCTTTACAGCACATACCTGGCTGGAAATGATTCTTATGAGAAATCTGAGGTACATGTAACTACTAATTGGTTAACTTAAGAATGATGTAGTTATTGGAAGTGGAATTTCATAATCTTCCGCATTTAGAATCTAAGTCATAAATTTAATTACTATAAAGTGTGCACTAAATAACCTTCAACAGATTATACAGTACTGTTGTGCCAGTTTGTCTGCAAAGAATCTATTGATGTTGTATTGAAAAGTTTCAAGTTTCTCAGTTTGTTGAAGTAATGGCTAATAGATGTGTATCTTAGAGGCTTGGATCCTCAGTAAAATGTATTTGAATTTCAGTGAATTACTTGTAAATTCATTTGCCTGGGAAATGCTTCCCTCAACAAATAGCTGGCAAAATATTTATACACTGACAGGTTTCAAATTTAAGTTTTCAGATGAGAGTGTCAAGAAATCCACTCTTAACCAGCAAGAAAATAGGATTTTCTCTTCATAGTAAATGCATATCAAGGAGGGATTGAATTTATCTTGTAGGATTCTTCTCTATCACATTCTGGGGATTTAAGTCAGTCTGATGACCTTGAAAAATTCAAGGACCTCACTCTCGCAGACTTTAAAGTTATGGGAATTGTTGGCAAGGTTAGTCAGGATTGTAAAGCTGAGACTTTTTATTGCATGACTATCCTAGCTGTTCAGCTGAGGTGGTCAGTTGACTTAATACATAATGATTGTAACTTTGCACAGAGGTTTTTTTCATCTTGCTCATGTGGACTTACATTTATAGGTGATGCTTGTTGAGAACAAACATACTGGGGATACATATGTGGTCAAGGTAAGTTTTGGAACATGGTGATGAACAAGAAATTGAAAGTAAAATATAATTGTGAACATAAAGTATGTAACTGAGACTTCAAGTGAACTAATTTCACTCCTTTTGCTTCCTCAAAGAAGTGCATGTGGCAATCTAAGTTATTTTGAATTATTATCATAATGTCATTTTGTTGCACCATTCCCATTCAACTTGAGGTTGGTAGTTGTCTTACCTCCCTGAAGACTGTACTTTACCTATTTTAACTTGTAACTCTTAAACAAAAGATCTACAGCTGTGGCACTGACCAATTGAGACCTCATGACCTTAAAGCCTGATTCACAGATGGTAGTTTGGTAGTAAAAGATGTGTTTGTCGTGTCACGAGCATGGGACAAAGAAAAAATTCTGAGTCCCCATGAGGAATTGAACCTCAGACCTTCAGATTTTATGCTCCATTGCTCTACCACTGAGCTACAGAGACTCTATGGTGAGCAAGGTCTGTTATGTAACATATAACATGCATCCTGCATAATGCTAGGATCAGCAGTGTCAAAAGCATCATGTTTGTAAATAGAACAAGAGGGATGGTAAGTTTTGAGCTCGGTAAAGAAATAGCAAAAGATGTTTTTCATCGGGTACTTCCTCAAAATTCCTTTGCACTGAGCATTGTCTCATACCATCTGAGAACCAGACTGCTGTATATAACCATCAGTGATAAATCATAATTTTATTTAGCATTAGATCTGAAAAATGCATCATTCACTATCAATTGATAATTTTCTTGGGAAGGTAAATTATAATTTCCTCCTTTTGCTTTTCACCATTTGTGAAAATATTCATGTATAATTAAATTTTTTATCTGAGGTAATTTTTTTTTTGAAAAATTTCAGGCACTGTGCAAGTCAGGACAAACAAGATCAAACAACAATCCTCAAGGAAGTGTGCGTAAGAGGAAGAAATCTGTTCGGCGTCTTTATGTAAGTATTTAAAGTTCTGTTGTTACACCCTGAGAAGTGTATTCCATTTTGAGCATAACCACTGTCTTTTCATTTTTTAGGGCAAGTATCCAAATATTGTGCAACTGTACAGGTACTTTGAGACAGCCACAGGCATTTATCTTTTACTGGAGTATGCACGAGGAGGAAGATTATGGAATCATCTTTCCTGTTATCAGCACAACAAGGAGTCACAGGATAACCTTATACGAAGTGTCAACAGAAAGTTTACCAATTTGAAGAAATCTGCAGCTGATGAACATGTGACTTTGGACATGGCAAATGCTGCTCCTCTTTCTCAAAGTGAGGTGACTCACTTGGAAAGTGAGGTCACACTAAATGATAAAAAATTGGAGTATAGAACTTCTATTGAGAGTAATTCCTCATCTTTGCAAGACAGCAAGCATTCTTCAAAAGTTACTCAAAAAGCTGTTGAAATGTTAGATACTACTGGAAATGGAAATGACCATCACATTTCAGAACCACACAGTTGTAACAATGAGGAGCTCTTAGCAGAAAATGAAGATTTAAGGGAAAACAAAGCCGCACATGATAAACAATCACTTTTTGTGAAACTAGATGAGTATTTTGCTTCTTCAAATCAGAGTGTACCAGATGAACACAAAAGAGTGTGGGCAGCAGAGCTTGTGTTAGCTGTTGCTTACTTGCACACAGCAGGGATTATTTGCAGGTACAGTTATCATGACTTAAACTCATTAACCCTTTAACTCCCAAGACCTGATTGTTAATTCTCCCCTCTAGCTGCTAAACATTTCTTTGTAAACTGGTTACCTGCAGGAATTTAGTGTTAGATCAGGATCACTACTTCTAACTGATAAGTTTGAGAATTCTCGTTACCTGTTTGTGGGATAATGTATGTATATTATGGGGGGAAGTTACATGTTAATCACTCTTTGGAATTACGGTTAGAAGTGAAGTCTGTCTGATTCATGGTGCCCTTTTCTAGAGCAAGATGCCTTACACTAAGAATTGGGATGGTCTCAACTCTTCCTGGGGAAAAATTTTTATAGACAGTATTTTTTGGTTATTTCTTTGTTCCCTTTGTTTTGACAAGGTCTTTGTACAATGGTTCCCCTGTATGAACTCAATATTACTTATTTTTATTATTTAAGGACAGAGGAGATGGTTGGTTATGGATTCTGTTTAGGGACTATACAACTAACAAACCTGGAACAAAGGGAGACAAAAATAAAACTATCCTCGTTTAGAATAATTTGACTTGATTCACTGTGAGATGCTGTACCATATCTTTTCTGTAAAGGGTCATACCTGAAAATTAACTGTATTGGAGTGCATTAACTTGTTTTTGGATCATAGAATATTGACTGAAATGGAGCTTTGAATTTTAACAGAGATTTGCACCCTAAAAATGTTCTTCTTGATGAAGAAGGCCACATCCTTCTCACTTACTTTGGTTCATGGGAAGAAACAGATCACATTCCAGATGAGACAGCAATGAATCACTTTTACTGTGCTCCAGGTAATGATCTTTTGGTAATATTATGATGCTGACATTAAACTTATTTAAGTTATGAATGATGTTTCAACAAGTCACCAAGCCTTTATCAGTTGACTCAATAATTATGTGAAATTACATATTTTAACATGATTAAAAAGATTTTAAAAGATTGGCAGCTAAACATACCCTTCTCCTTTGGATGTTCATTGACTTTTAACAAGGGAGATAGATACAGATGTTTTGTGCACTTATATGTTGCGCATTAATTTGATATGTAAATGTATCTGCTATCAGTCTTTAGAAGGTTACATTAAATATAATTAAGTTAGGTAATGCATTGCCAAGTTACTCAGACAGCTCCCAACTGTTGTAAAGTTTTGGTCTCTTACAGTAATTACAAGTCCAGGTGTCACATGTAGTTTTGATCTACTTATTATTTAAGGTTTTTTTGAAGCTTTTGGTGACTTTTTTATATTTTTTTTTCAACAGAGATATGGCAAGTTGATGATGTAACTCCTGCTGCTGACTGGTGGAGTGTGGGCGCTCTGCTTTATGAGATAATCACAGGGCAGGTATGAGCAGGATGTTTGTATTTTTTGCATGTATTCGATATCTATTTAAATTTTGTGCTGTAACTGGAAGAAGATCATTCCAACACCTAAGTGCAGTCTTACTCAGGACATGCTTGAGGCATCAAACCTTTCACTACCAGAAGTGATTAACATGTAACTTCTTGTCTTGTTATGAACGTGGGACAAAGAAATAATTCTGAGTCACCACAAGGAATTGAACCTCAGGCCTTCAGATTCTGTGCTCTCATGCTCATGACAAGATGAAAAACATCTTTCTCTATTTCTTTACCACACCTAAAACTTACCATTTTTTTACTCTATTTACAAACATGACACTATCGAAATCACTGATCCTAGTAGTATGTAGGATGCTTGTGATATATGAACTTCATAATAGGCCATGCTCACCATAGAGTTTCTGTGGCTCCTAGTTGTAGAGTGGAATCTGAAGGTCTGAGGTTCGATTCTTTATGGATATTCAGAATTTTTCTCTGTCCCATGCTTGTGACAAGATGTAAAACATCTTTCTATATTTTCTCAAAACTTACCATCTTTCTTATTCCATGTAACTTCTCCTTATGATATGCATTAGATCTTGGGATTTAAATGGTTAATGTTACTATTGATGATAATAACATGAAAAATCCTCCTTCGAGAAGAAAATTATAATTGTTTCTCTTCTATTACTGAAAGGGAATTAGAGTCTGCTCTGTTGCTGATCAACTTTAGGCTAATCATTCAGCAACATGTAAACCCATTGTTCATTTATGTAGCTTATACTAATGTTGATTGTTATTGATACTCATTGCAGGCACTGTCAACTGCACATCCCTGGGGAATAAGAACTCACACTGAATTACATCTACCCAACAAAGTCTCCCCCGAGGCAAAATCCCTTTTAAGAGAGGTGAGAGACAAAGAGTAAACTCTACTTGTAAACTACTTCTACTTGTAAACTCTACTTCAAGGTTGAACTTGGAATGCATATTTGTTATTTCAATGAGTTCTCTTTTGCTGTATAGCTATTAATAGGGGCTCATTGCTTTGATTTTCAATGTGATCATTTTTACTTTCTTTTACAGACCAGATTAAACTTCTTGAATGGCTTCTAAATGATATTATGTTATTTCTGTTTATCCTCTTCATTGGTGAAGATTTTCCAAATACACATGACACTTTTGAGGTGTCAATTCCACAAAAAAGATTTAATTTTTAATTTTTTAATGTTACAGCTTCTGAGAGTCACACCATCTGAAAGACTGGGTGAGTTCTGTTTGCGTTTTGTTACATGTTAGTACTGTAGTAACACTGACACTCTTCATAGAGTTTCAAAGGACTTTTTTGTTGACTTATGTGACCCTTTCACTTCTAAGAGTAACTAGTATCTAAACCTCCTTTCAATATCACCCCTGGATCAAATTTTAGGGTCACAATTAAGCCTTTGACTCCCAAGATCTGATTGTCAATTCACCCCTCCAGCTATTACATATTTCCTTTTAAATTAGGTACAAGAATTTGGTGTTAGATCAAGAAAACAACTTCTACTTGATATGTTTGAGTATTCTCATTACCTGTTGGCTGGATAATGTATGGATATTGCAGGGAGAAGTTGGATGTTAATCACTTCTGGGAATTAAAGGTTTAAGAATGAAGGAAGTGATAGCAAACTCAAGTAACTCTTGACTGTTAGACAAATTCCTCGTCAGCATCTCAAGAAAATGTATCGAGAACAGTATAAAGAATATGCATTGAGTACGCCCAATATGATATACAACATTAATTTTTTAACTATTTGGTGTAGGTTCTGGTGTGAATGGTGTCGAGGAGATCAAGTCACACCCGTTCTTCAGTGGAGTCAACTGGACGTGGTTGTGTTCAAGAATCAATTAAAAATAACTGACCTGGAAAACAATAATTTTAATTCATAATACAGATTGCAAAAATGTAATGAAAAGTGTAAAGTACCCTATGAAATGAAGATGAAATAGTTCAAATAATCAATTTGAAATAAGAACTAATATCAAAATTTGAAAATTTTTTACTGTGTAATTATGTGTACAGTATTAATGCACAAAAAGGTATAAATTGAAAGTGAGAAGCTCAAAATTTACTATCTTTCTTATTCTGTGTACACATATGATGTCTTTGAAATTACTAATCCAAGCAGTACAGAGCAGCATGCAGGATATGTGTCACTTAATATGAAGGTTGCAATGACCTAACTTACCACAGAGTCTCTGACTCAGTAGCAGAGCTTTGAATACAAAGATCTGAGTTTTAATTCCTCATGGGGACCCAGAATTTTTCTTTTTCTACATGCTCCTGACATGACAAAATATTTCTTAAAAGTCTATCTTTCTAGTTGCAAATCTCCTCCTCATTTTTTTTCTCTGAACACTAGTATTATGTTAGTAAAGATGGCCTGCCATCATTTACTAGTGATGGTTTTTTTCCAAAAAAAGCAATTTTTCAACATCAGGACATTTTCAAAGAGAAAAGGGATGATTGATTTAATTCATAGATTTAAGACCCAGAATATGAAAAAAAATTATTGCTGGTGGTGCTGAAAATATTTGTTCATATGTAGTCAGTAAGATAGGAGGCACAACCAATAAAATTTGTAATTTTAAGCTAGCATGACCTAGAAAGTATCATCTTTTCTGTAAACAATTAATGCTATAAGCAGTGTAGTTTTCAAATGGGAAGTCAATTTAAATTTTTAGTTGGAAGCAGTCTTAAGACCAAAACAATCATGAAAGCTTCAAGGGAAATAATGAAGCAAAACTTTCTCCTGTTTTTTTTTTTATCCTGAAAGAACAGAGAAACTTTTTGTTGGTAACAGACGGTTTTATCACCGTTACTGTTTTAAGTTGGTAAACGACTTTCTAGCCAAATAATGGAGCCCATCTGGAACTATTACTTTGTTGAACCACTGATAGATGAAAGGTGATTAACGTTTTGAAGGATTTAGAAAAGAGAAAAAAAAAAAGGCATATACTTACAGGCATGTATGTGTTATTGTATGGTTAGAGACTTGCAATTGGTGCACCAGTCCTGTTGAGGAGATTTTTGATATACATAAGAGCAGGACTGTACTATAGTTAAAAAAACAAAGCTACAGGCAAAATTATTTTAAGCAACAACTTGAGGAAGGTCAGCAGGAAAACTCACTTCGCTTTGTTGAAATTAGAATGTTCAGCCTAGCATGAACAAGGTGTATGATATAAAATTGCAAGATAATGAATGGCTAGGCTTTGTGTTCTTCAAGATGTCATGCCACGCTTCCCAAAAGAATGCATTGGCTGCCAGTTATGAGGATGGTTGTGCAGGTGTGGCCAGATTGCCATGGAAACATTATAATATGAGTTGCACTAAAAGGAGGTGAAAAGAACTGACCCTTCTGTGTTAACATTAGAAAAAAGTCCAACAATTCTGATGTGAATCATGAACGAGGCTAACTTTGTTGATTTGAAATCATGGACAAGACATAATTTCACACTTTTTTTTTCATTTATGGTCACCCTCAACATTACAAATGATTAATCTCCATCAGCTACACTTAACAACCTGATAATCAACTTGCTTACTAACAAATAGTCTTTCAGTAATTGCATTATCAATAGTATAGGATTATATAAAAACTAAACAAACAGAACTGCAATATTCAAGGTTCTCTGAAGGAACAATCAATACCTACACCAATTAGGAATGATTCCTTACTACTAAATATTGCCACAAGGTTGAATTAGATTTAACATCTCGAGGTACCATCTAAATGTTACTGGTGAGTGACACACGAATAGTGAACGATCCCTGGAAGACTGATAATGGTTATAACGGACAGAAGTTGAAGTTATAATTAAAACTAATTTGAATGAAGTTTATTTTAAATACTGACAAACATTCTTGTAGCTTAAAGAGAACCTTAAAGAGAACCAAACCTATAAGAATCTCAAGTTTCATACATTTAACCCTTAAACACCCTAACATCAACATGCATATTCTCCATACTTTTCTCTACAATTTCCTTTGGAGCTAATGAGGAGAAATTGTTCAATAATCAAGAGCATTCTGAGTTGTACATTCATTTCCCTTAATGTATAATTCAGGGGTGATATAGTAGGGGTTAAAGAGTTATTGGTTCATCCTTGCACAAGAAAATGCTTCAGCCAGGTATTGTTTGATAACAAAAAAATTACTTGGCAAATAAACATTTTGAACTGGAATTTGTATATAACTACAAAAAAAATTGAAAGAAGAAAAATTGTAATTTTGGAATTCTACCCAAAACTTGCCTAGGAATATTCAACATATACTTCTTCAAAAATATCTCAAATTGCAAAATGGAAAATGTAACAACTCTAAGTTACTGCCACTGGGCTATGAAAATTACTGCACTAATAATAACTTACAGGTAATGCTTTAACTCTGTGATGACCTTATTACATAGAATGGTTTATAGTGTCCAATTTTGAAGACCATCTTTCTCTTGGAGTCTCTCTGCTAGTCTGCATCTTACACTTCCCACTTAACAAACTCATACTAGCATACCTTGCTGAAAATCTTTAAGCCATATTAGTATACACTTCACATTTGAGCCTACTGATAATATATTTCTAACGACTTTTAACCCTTTCACTCTCAGATCTTATTATTAATTCTCCTTATTGTTTGTTGCACAATTCTTATGATATTAGTTCAGAGAATTTGGTATTGGATCAACCAATAATCCCTCTATTTTATTTTCTGAAATTCTTGTCGCCTGTCTGCTTAGTATGGTATTGATAATGTGAGGAGAAAATCTTTTTTGGTCACTCTTGGGAGTTAAAGGGTTAAGACTCTAGTACGCATTAAAATAATCTGTGTATTTTTCATCAAAATAAAACAAATGATTGAAGAAATCATTGTCTTGTGGAAGAACTTGGATTGTGTGATTTCTAAAAAAATTAATAACAATTAAATAGACTTAACCAAGAGGTAGAAGTACATGTATTGTAATGTATGGGAAAGATGAGACTGATGATAAGTTACCCTAATTAACGTTTTGAATGAACAATTGAATGTGTATTAAAGTATCAGTGTAATTTACACACCCACAAAGGACGTCAGAATAAAGTATACCTCTAGGTTCAATTAAAAAGAGGGAAATGTCAAGTCCTTGAATGGTATGAATTACAGCTGAGCTAACAAAACGCATTTCCCTTGAAACAAACCAATGCTTTTTCTGTATTCTTCAATACTGAAACTATCAGTATTTCATTAGATAAAGCGTATGATTTATGTCTAAAAATTGAAATAAATTAAGTTGGCTAGTATCCCTTAAACTTTCTTTCTACTCTTTCCTTAGTCAACCACTAAATGGAAACTTTGTTTCTCCCACTTCAATTACTATTGCTGCTTGGCAATTAAAATTTATCTGTAGACTGAGGAGTGAGGAAAAAGAAAACCTGTGAGATCAATTTAAAGTTTTCTATTGCAAGTGCCACTTGTTTTTGCCATTTTTCAAAACGACGGCTTGACCACTATTAAGTTTTATCTTATTGACGTCCACTTCTTGGCCAACCATATTGGATTCTGTATCAAATACCACCATCCCCCTGCCTGAGATCTTGTCAAGATCACCATTCCAACTCTTGTCACCAAAGTTGATGATGATGAGGAAGTGCTGGTTTTCGTGACTGCGAATAAAAGAGAACACTTCCAGATCAGTGTGCACCTCTTTCAATACACCCTCAACTAGGGCACTTGCATTCCTTCTTAGCCCAACAAGCTCCTTGTACTTGCTGTAGATTGAATCTTTGTCAGTTTTTTCAGTGGCCACATTGATGGACTTATAATCCGAGCCAACTTCCAGCCAGGGTTTGTCTGTAGAGAAGCCTGTAATCACAATGAAGAAAAATATTAACAGTAATATGGTGACCTATGGATACAGTAGACATTCAAGGGCTGAATTTCATCTCCCGCGATGGCCTTCCATGTCATGTGTATTGGTAAAATTGTGATATGCAAACTGATGATGGAGGTTCCCCTACAAAAAGCATTTTAACAATAATTTTCACCAAGGACACTATTGAAAGTCTGTTGTATTCTTAACTCTTTGAACCCTTAGAGTGACTAACATCTAAATTCTCATTACACTATCAGCCCTGAATCACACATCAAGGTCATGAGAAAAAAGGAAATGATCACCAAGCAAAGAAGCTCTTGATTGGTAAACAAATTCTCCTCATCAGCATCTTAGGAAATGTAAGGAGAACAGTATGGAGAATATGGATACTGATGTTAGAGGATAAAGGGTTGATCAGATATTTCAGGAACACAATGAATCAACCCTTAACCTCCCAAGATCTTATTGGTAACTCTGCCTCATACCAGATGTAGGAGGATCTCGTAAATTTAGGTCAAGAGAATGTTGGGTTTTATATCAAGACTACCTACAAGAAACTAATTCACTCACCTGCACTTTCTTCTGCATTCCACTGCATGGGGGTTCTTGCACTTTCCATAGGGTCATCTGGATTTGTAGTTTTACCATTTAACATGCCAATCTCTTCCCCATAGTAGGTACTAACCATACCAGGCAGAGTGAGTGCAAGTACATTCATTGCATGTCTTTTTTCCTTTCCCACCCTGTTGCCAACACGTTCATGGTCGTCATGGCCAGTGACCCAGTTGGGTATCTTGCCCTTTGGAATGCTGGCCAAGTATTCCATGACAGTTTTGTTGATTCTCTGAGCTAGTGTCATTCCCTGTTCATTGAGTTTGGTGATCAGGCCAAAGTTGAACGGAATGTCTGACACCTCGTAGTACTTGGAAGTCTTGTCATAAGGTCCTTCCACCTCTGTGAACAAAATAGGAAGGCTTCCATTCTGCTTGTTCAGGAAATCTTGGAATTCCTTCACCAGGGCTCGGCTAGCATCAAGATCTGAATGCAAAGATTAACATTTAATTCTATCAGTTAATAAAAGATCATCATTCTTTTAACACATGGAGAACATAAAAACTCAGACTAAGAGAATCACGAGAATCATATTCTTGGGAGTCAAAAGGTTAAATAAAATTAAGATTATATTTTTCTTGAAAGATAAATGCCACTTACAGTGGTCACAACAATTTATGAAAATTCGTATTTCAATTAAATTGTCCTAAATTATTAATTGATTGCAAAAAACCTGAGAAAAAATTTCTGAAGTTAAAATCAACCTTAAAAGCAAAATTCCCTTCACAAATTCAAGTTTCCTTTGATTGAAATAAGGAGACGCGAAGTACACGGCTTGTTGATAAATTGTGTGACATCCTTAAGTGACAATATGTCATGCTCGCAGGTCAAGTCATCGGAATGTAAACAAAAAATTCACGTGCTGCGACAAGAAAGGCCAAACAATGAGTTGTCCTTTAGTAGCTCGCACGAAACGAAATCACCAGAACGCTGACAGAAACACCACATGCTTTGACGAGTACAGTCAAGAGCACAATTTATAATTCCGCTGTGATAACCTAAGACAACCAGCTGCAGTCAAAGTAAAATTTATATACATGTACAAGATCACTGCAGCGATCGATTGCTTGAAAAATTCCCTAATGAAATTTTATTAACAAAATGAATTAAATTTCAAAGCAAAGTGAGCTTCTTACCAAACGTAAGTGTGTGTTTCAGCATGTCGTATTTCAGATCTGACGCATTGTAGTTGCTATTTGGGGTCTCGTCACCGAAATTCTCGTTTTCAATCAGGAATTGCACAGCATCAAAATTAAAGCCATCGACTCCTTTTGCAAGCCAAAACTTCAAGACATCTTGGAGTTCTTTTTTCACCTTTTCATTTCTTAAATTCAAATCGGGTTGCTCTTTGCTGAACTGATGAAGGTAAAACTGCTTGGTGGCGTTGTCGAAGGTCCAAGCGCTTCCCCCGAACACGCTTATCCAGTTGTTTGGAGTTTCATTCTTTGCAGGACCACCTTTCCAAATGTAGTAGTCTCTATAAGAGTTTTTGTCATCCTTTTTGCTCTTCAAGAACCATGGGTGTTCATTAGAAGAGTGATTCGGAACGAACCCCATGATTACCTTGATGCCTTTCTCGTGAGCCTCTTTGATGAATTTGTCGAAGTCTTCCATGGTTCCGAACATGGAATCGATGACTGTATAATTTTTCATATCGTAAATCGGGTTAAGCCACACAGCCTGTACTCCTAACTCAGTGAAATAATCCATCTTGTTCAAGATACCCTTCAGATCGCCATTTCCATCTCCACTGGAGTCTTTGAAAGAACGAGGATACACTTGGTAAATGATACCATGTTTTAACCATTCATCTTGTTTGAGGGTCTCATTTTTGAGGGTCTCATCGCTTTTCTTCTCCTCTGGTACTTCTTCTTTCTTGTCGCATTTGGGTGCTACAATAATGATGATTACGGCTGCTACCACCATCACGATTACAATCGCAGCGAAAACCACCACGAGGGCCAAGCGTGTTTTCCTATGCTGAGCTATTTCTTCATCGCTCGGTTTCGAAATGTGCGATGGATCTTCAAACGTAATCTTCGCATCATCTTTGGTTAAACTACTGAATTCCACTTCATTGGTCATTTTTCTTAGTACTGTTCACTTGAACGTGCGATGTATCCGTTCAAGAGACAGAGGTAGAACTCAAAGGCTCGAGGGCACAACTAGAATGGCGCGAACGAACGATCCCAAAACAATCAATTCCACGCGGCAATTTATTCTTTGGATCACGTGGCCTCCTCATGAGAAGGTTAGATAATTTCTTGGGGTGCGGTGGGGTCTCTTCGTAAAACAAAATAAGGACATCAGCGCCAACGGAATAGTTCAAAGAACATTTAACGATAAATGTGCAAAGAAATTGTTCCTTGATTTCGAATTTATCAAATTATATGGAAAATTTGCAACACCGCGGGATAAGATAGAGCCAGGATTTGATTCCGCCCTACCATACCCCTGTTGGTGATCCGTTGTTGAACTTTGTTCAAAAGAATAACTAATAAGATCCGTCCACGCCAGTCTACGGGTTCTCACATGCTTTCAACTTGCCTTTTGTCTCAAAAATAGAGCACACATTGCATCAGAAATTTAATTAACATAGCAAAAGTTATTCTATTTTCCTACTGCGACTTTCTTTCATTGAGGTTTGAAAAAAGCCATCCTGCCCTTGCAAAAAACAACCGCAGGGAGTCTGAAAAACTGTGAAAATCGCTCGATATGAACAGGATTATCGATGGATGATCTGGGAAGTAAATTAAAATGACGTACGGCTGTTATCCTTCGCAATTTTTTAAAAATATTTTTCAGTTTCGTCCTTGAATTCAATTTTTTGGTCTCTAGCACTGAATACGCTTAGCTTTCCCTTCGAAAAATTCGTCCAAACAGGAGCTCTTGATAATGAATACTCGTATTTAGGTTTGCCGTGACTTTATGAACAAAAACAAACTCTCCTGCGACTATATTATCGTGTATTCGAATCCTGGGAACACGCAATACATAAATATTATGGACAATACAGGTATGAGTGCTGCGGTTTCGCATTGCACAGAAAAATATTCATTTTACATCGACCTGAATTAAGAACGTGCCAAGATCGAAGCCAGGTGTTGTTTGAAAGTCTAGTAGCGGTGAAATCGGAGGCGAGAGGGAACACACCCAATAACGTATGTGTGGAACAAATGAGACAGCTTGCAAACAAAATAATTTTGCACTAAAATCGCAATTGCAAAGACTAAGAGCAAGATAACTTGGACAAAATTGAGGCAAATAATTTGAGCAATAACAGAGTTTGTAATAGAGAAGAAAACAACATCGTTTCTAATTTTCGATCCCTACCCCGCCCAAAGCTGAGGATGATTTGCATTCCAAGGTGGGAAGTGAGAAGTGAGAAGTGAGAGGTGAGAGGTGCTTCTGTTTCTGTCAAAAATGTCACAAATTTTGTTTTGCACCTGTTCTTGTACAGGAAGCGGCAATCAGGAATAACAAATATACAGTCAATTTTATAGATTGTCAAACTCATCGCTCTAACTTCATCTACACATAGACCTACTACTCTTTCTGCAAGGATCAAAGTCCTCTCTGAATATGTAAACAAGTAAATGGTTTCAATTACACGATTTCTTTAAAAACTAAATGAAACCTATCTACGTGAGCGATTCCAATAAATAAATAATTACAAGGTGGCGGCTTTATAATATTATTGTTTACAATTATAGGGTAGTTTTCACGGTCTTGAAACAAATGGTTAAATATAACCAACCGTTTTTCGAAAGAAAATTCGTGTTACCTGTAAAACACTGGGGCCACACTTTTAAACTGTCACGTCAATGTTAGTCCTCTTTTTAATTAAATTATCTTTTGCTTTTAGCAGAATCACTATTAAGTTAGGTTCAGATAATTATGTTCTGTCATTTATTTTGTCCGACACAGCTACGGAAGCAGTTATGAGAAATTTTCTCACTCAGATTTACAATAAACCTGACAATATATTGAAAACTTCTTAATGAAAAAGACGGTGTTTCAAATGAGACAGGTCTCATCATTTCGACTGACGCGCCGCTTGCTTTAGGCGTCGATTCAAAAAACACTGCACGTTTGTTTAGCAATAGGCGGAGTGCGACATGAGCACAAATCTATTACAATAACCACAAAAACTAAGGTATTGAAAAAAATTAATCGAATTTCTTGCTCTCCGCCGCTTACTTAATCGGATGAATTATGCACAATCCACCAGCAAGCAATGGCAAGCCCTAATGTGCTCGCCCCAGCTCTTCACACCTAAACATGTCGAAAATGCGAACTTTGCAGATGAACTATTGTTCACTGACGTCACTCTCAATACGCCCTGCTTTCGCAAACTGTTCGCGTCTGCTCTTTTACAACAGCAGGTCGTCCAACCTCGTTCCCAGGGTCCTCTCTGGAAACGAGGATGCATGTCGTCTAGGTAATCTGACGTAATCATATCAGAAATGCATACTACAAATCTTCTGGTTGGTTTCAAACGGTCAAAGTTTGTAGTCAGGAAGATAGAACAAGAGGTAATTTCTTCCATTGATGTTTCTCGATTGAAGGCTTTGAGATCCAGTACTGAGGCAGCAATTGACGAAACCACTATTCATAATCTTCAAAGTCCCCGTAGTCGTCGTCGACATCTGCAAAAACATGAAAGAATATGAAATAAATAAACAAAATAAATAAATGAATAAATAAAAAGAAGAAATCGCAGTTATTGTTAGTATGAATTCTGAAGATGACTGTTTTCCCTTTTTTTAGTGATTACTGGTCGCACGAGAACGCTGCGGTTTTAACAAAGGTTTGATCGCGAGATTCATCTATTTGAGTGGGTGGTTTGAAGTAAGAGCCCTCCCGCCATTCTTCAGAAATTCAATGTATAGATATGTTGAAGACAGTTTAGAACGAGGTTTTGCGAAAAAATAGCTTCACTTCGTTTAAACAACCAGCAAATGTTTTTCTCATGCTCACCACGAGTTGAACAGAATAAACCGGGTCGACCGGTTTCCCATCAGCAAGCGCGTCAAATTTCAAATTGAGAATCGCGGCTTCTCTCTCTTATTAAGTCTCATCAATATTGGTCTTCAAGAGAACCTTCTCTTCTCCCTTACTAAAAATTAAATTGGAGGTAGTCTTGCAAAAGTATTGTGAAAAAAGTCTCGCGAAGAAGTCTATCGTACACCACCCAATGAGGCTAAATTTTGTAAAGTTTTTTTTGTTTGTTTGTTTGTTTTTTTTAAATCGCCCTCAAAAGAGTGCAAAAAAGAAAAACAAATGGAGGTCTAGTTTTCCGCCGGCAACTCTCTTACTAGGACAAGAAAAGCTTAGGAAAGATAAATTGTTAGTAAAATTACCTTTTTCATCGGGTTTATGGGGAAGTTTTTCGCCAAATTTAAAACAAGTTAAACTCAGTAATTCTAACACGCGAATAACTTACTGGCATCATATAAGTGTCCCATTAACTGAACTGCGCTCACTGGTTCCTCGTCCTCCTCTTCCAGTTCATCAAACTCCTCCTCCTCCTCCCCCACAGGGTTGGTCTCGTCGGTTTTTTCATACTCCACTGGCCCGCTTTCAATAACGACATCTTTTTTATCTTCCATCTTTGCCAATTCTTGAGGCTGAACAAGCTGGTGAAAGTAGATTCAAACATTCATAAAGGAAACTACAGTGGTTCGCGGTAACATCGACCGATGATGGAATACGCACAAAAAAGCCACAACTCGGCTTTTCCACAGTGACCCCACCATTTCATTATAAAAAAATGAATAAATAAAAAAAGAAACATACACACTTCATGTAACATTATTAACATTATAAATCGTTCTTACAACAATTGTGCCGCAATCGCACCGGTCTTCATGTCACCACTGTAGTATAACTCTGCGTTTTCAGTTTTTCTATTTTAGCCTACACTAACAGACAGGCGTTTTTTAATGCCAAAAAAAAAAAAAAAAAAAAAAAAGCACGAGCAAGGGGAGGGAAGGGGTGCAAAAGAAAACACGCCTCTTCTACAGGATTGTCTATCTTGGAAATTTTCCCCAGAATTTCCGAGTTTGTCGTTTGCGTTCCGTGGACATCTTCATTATGGTTTGTCCTTCTTGGTCTGTAGTCATCTACTCAATTGATATTTCAAAATGTTCTCCTGATAATAATTGCGGTAATTCTCATTAAGTTAAAAGTACTTCTGTACCTTGCATAAAACGAATCAAAATGCCATGACGCAGGGTTCAGTCAGGTGAAGTTTAGCAGAGTTTTTTTTTTGTTTTTTTTTTGAGATGGTTAAGGTAACGCGATGAGATATAGACTGTACACCCACCTTTGGTTTCTTGAAAGTGTCCAGGGGCGAGGCAATTGGAGTGGAAGAATCTCTAAAATTTAAAATTATCATGATTTTGAAAAAACATTCAAACAATACAAGAAAAATCAGTTGAACGCTGGCAAATTGATATCTGCAAATCACATTTTCTTTTTTTTTTTTTTTTTAAGTGGAAGCGTGCGAAAGCTGTCAGGTGGGCACCTGTTACTTTGTTTTTTGTCGTTGTCGTTATTTTTCATTGTTTTTTAAGGAAAGAAAAATACTATCTAATTATCCACCTTCCTTAGTAAATCAAGGGCAATAGTCAGTACTGACCTCTTTCTTCCTCCTTTTCTAGTGGGTACACGCGGCGTCAAAAATTCCTGTTTAAGCTGTAAAACCGGTTTAGGAGTTGACGTCACCGGGGTACTGGGCATGCTTAATTGGCTAGTCTCCAGATCCCTGAGCACTTCGTAGTTTATTTTGCTGGAAATTCTTTTTTCAACCAGCATCTTCTCAATGGCTTCGCCTGCAGTGCTGGCTGGACCAGTCGGTACTCTTTTCTTATATTGCTTTTTTCTCTGTGACAACCCAAAAAGATGAATTTACTAGAGATTTCTCTACGGCAGGTAGCCGACTCATGGCAAAGCTTTCAATAAAGGGGTAACCGGCGGTTATCGCTGCTCCCTCTTACCACCGTCTGTTTAGCCTGATTAACCTCTCTTCATTGAGTTTTGTATTACGGCCTCTTTTCCGGGCACAGCCGTCTATTTTACCATTGGCAGCCTCTTATGAAAAAAAGTTACTGAAACTGCTGCCTAAGTTCACGATTTTTTGGTAGAAATAAAGAGTAAGATTGTTCTAATTAATCTCTACTAGCGCGCACTCTACAACAATAAAGGTAAATAATTACCATAGCAATGATAATACTAATCTAATGATGGAGACCACTAACTAAGAGTGCCACCCTCTTAAACGAAAAATGAACAACATACAACCTTTTTCGGTTCTTGTTTATTTCCTTCTTCTCTTTCCCGCGCCTCCTTTTCTTCCTTCTCTAAAAGATTAAATAAGAACCTAAGATGAGTTTACCATTTGATGCTACAGGAAATGGCATTTAAAGAAACAAACTTTAGAAAATTTTCAAATTATCTCAAGTGTAACAGCACAAAATTACAAAATTATCTGAATTGGGTAAAGAATTCGAACATAGAGGTAACAATAATTGCAGACATTGTTTTCACCTTTTTGTTTTTGTAGATATTCCTTGTTTTCTTCCATCCAAAGTTTTGTTTTTATCTCAATCTCACTTTCATTTAAAAGACACTGCAAAAAATAGAAATACAAACTGAGCAGAACTGAAAAAATTTCTTACCAAAAAAAAAGGGGAAAAAAAGGGTTTTGCTTGAGGAGGAGATGGATACCTCTTATGTTTGAAGGGAAGGGTCAGTGAGTCCTACCATTGTCGTCAGAGGTATGCAGTTTTTATTTTCATTCCTTTCATTTTTTGCGGTAATGGTAATATGGAAAAAACTTTCAAATATTTTAAAAACTGAAGACAGGTCACCATATTGGAATCTAACTTCTGAAGTTACGACTGCTTTACTTGGAGGGCCTAAGTATACACTGTAAATGAATAATAGTGCTCAATGTATTTACAAGCTAGCATCTGTCTGACAAGTCTGTGCAGCTTTATATCAAGTAAAAATGCCTAAATACTAAGTGTTAGTCTTGTAATAATCCTTTAACTCCCAGAAGTGATTAAAATGTAACTTCTCCCTAAAATATCCATACAATATTCAGTAAACAGGCAATGAGAATACTCAAACTTAACAGGTTGAAGTTGTTATCTTGATCTAACACCAAACTCTCATAACTTATTGACAAGAAATTGTGTAGCAGCTTGAAAGGAGAATCTAAATTACAGCCTGGGATTTAAAGGGTTAAAACTAGAAATTGGAGAGGAACAATTACCCTGTCAAGTTCAGCTTCATCTAAGCCAGTTAGATCCAGCTCCTCACACACTTCACCTTTTTCATTATCTAGATTAAAAAAATAAAATGATAAAATAAAAGTTCAGCAATTTATTTTTTCATTTGGGATTAAGAGGAAATTGATAATAGCACTGGAACTGCCAGTTAACTCTTAAACCCCTGAAGAAACTAGCATCAAATTTCTCATTACCGGTAATATATCACTAGAAAGTCAAGCACTAAGGCTCATGAGAATTAGGCAATGATCACAAACTTGAAACACTATTGATTTTTAACTAAATTTTCCTTGCCAGTGCCTAAGGAAATGTATGGAACAGTATGGAGAATTTACATGTCAATGTTAGAGAGTTAAAAACTCTGAAGTACCTTTATTGATATCACTGTTTGATACAAAATCAGGTGTGCTGTAGGAAGGAATAACTAAGAAAGAACCATCACTAGAATCCTTTGAAATGTCTTCTCTTTCAGAGATCTTATCCAAATCATCTGGGTGTACGTTTTCCCTTGTTGAATCTATTCCCAAAATTTTTTCAATAGACTTCTGAAAGGATTCCAACTCTGAAGTAATTTCAGGTTTGTTTAACTCCTCAAGTTGTTGTTTTGCTCTTTTCCTTGCTTGTGTGAAGCAAGGCGGGTCCTGTTCCTCCTCAAGATCAATTGTTTGGAACTCGTCAATGGTCAGCTGACTGGAAGGCGTGTCACGAAAGTCCCCCAACCTCTTTCTTATAGTAGTGTCACTTATACGAACAGTTTTGACCACTTCACGCACTGTTCGGTTAAAACCATGCAATCTTGCTGCCACTAAAAGAGCTGTTGAGATAAGAGGGAAGAGTTGTTCAAAACACTTCCCGGTTGATGAAATTGTGCACAAATCAAAACTTATTCCAGAGCCAACCAAGAGGCTTTTCACCAATAAGTAGCCCACAATGGTATCACATTCTTGTTATGTGCCACTTCTAAAAGAATGTTCAGTGATAAAATATTTGATGGTAAATTTCAAAACAAAATTTTGTAAGAGATGCATTGATGATTGGTGCCCTTATCTCTGCGTTCAAGCCCTGGGCATGACACTTAAGTAATGTTCTACACAAAGTGGCTAACTCACAAGCCTCTCTCCTCTCAGGGGTATAAATGGGTACCTAGGAACTGTCAGAGAAGCTTGATGAAGTGTTCATCAGAAGGTACAATGGTCAAGCAGGAAAATTAAGAAGACAGAGGAGGGGGAAAGAAGAGTTGTAAAACACACTTCATGCCGCAGACTCCATGCTATGATAAGAATTAACTGATAGTGGGTCACAGTAAGCTGGAGAGCTGCCTTCAGTTTTATCTTTTTTCTTGGCATTATATTTATTTAACTATGAATGAATACTGCTCACCAGCTCCACAGAGACCAGAAGGCCGACGCCCATGATGAATCCAGTCTCTCTTCATTCTTGATACCAATCTCAATGCTGTCATAGCAACATCATGCTCCTTGTCACCAAATTCTAACTTGTGTGCAAAACGATGGATGTAAAGGCAAGGATCTGCCGGAGAAATGGAACACATTGATAGCTGTTAACCAAAGGGTTGTTGCAATCACTTATCAGTTGTTACAAACAGCAATAAAGTCTTGCCAAAACTTGTCTCATGACATCTTGTGTATGAAAAAATTGCATCTCCACCAATATGCAAGTCTGAATACTAGTTAGTTGTTGGGAACATTAGTCTACGAAATTATCTTTTAACAATTTTGCTCATTCTTTTTACATACAATTGTGTGTGCTGTTATCAACATCTGGTACTTGGAAGTAGTAAGTTATTGATGACCTACGCTAGTTCCCAATTCCAAATTATCAATATAATATAGATTACAGACTCCTTCTCTCCTATCTATGAAGAACTGTAAAGATTATAAAAATTTTTTTTTTTCCTTAGTGAAGGTTTCCTGAATGACAAACTTTGTAATCATATGTGACTTACCAACCGCAGGCAAGTTAATATACAGTTCTTGGGCCAGCTTTAGGTATGCTCTACCCAAGGTGAAAACATCAATCTATCGAAAAACAGTAATAATCAGCAAAAATTAACATTTGTCAAGTTCATGATTTACTACCTTTCAAACAATTTTAAACTTAGTTTTAATCCACTTGAACTGCCAAAAAAGGAAAAAAAGCTATTTTGTGACTGAGATGTTGCACTAAAAGGACATATTTCAAGATATCAATAAACATCCTGGGGTGTTTATATACTGGTCAGTGAAATGCATTTTTTATCCCTATTCTGCACATTTCTGATGGATAAGCACTACAGGAAATCTTATGTTAAATGTAAAATATTGCTTTGTACCCCCACAAAATGATGCAAAGTGACAGCTGTGAGTTCATGGTTGCCTTAAGTGTAGTTCATGGTTGCCTTTAGTAAATGAGAATAAGGCTAGTATAATCCTACTGGTAACTGTTTTCAAGTCAAAAATGTATACAAAACTTAAGAGTGTGTTAAATTTACATGAACTACAAGACAAGTCTTGAGGATAGGAGAGAACTCAATTTATTCTACCTGTAAAACATCACTGAAGTCAAGAAGCATGTCTGTTGGTTGACAGTTAAGGAAAGTTATTAATGCAAATTTTAAGAATGGAAGAATCCTAGACAGGATACATGTTTTCAATTTCTCGTGTTAATCACACCTGGGAGTTAAAGGTTACTTAATCAGATGTGTTCATTTTCATACTGATTAGCTTATAAAAATGCACTTTGGATACGAGGAGTTTTCTCAGTTCTGCATACAAGGTACAGGCATGCTGCTACAACATGGTTTGTTCTCCTGCCTCTTGTCAAACGCTTGTTAACTGCCAGTTTGTAGAAGTTGTAAGCTGTATCAATACAGTGTTGATTCATTTGCAGCTGATGGCCAACTGCATTTATTCTTCTTTTTCCTAAAAATCAATTAGCAACTTAAAATGAATTACAGTCCTAGCAACAAAAATTTGTAACAAGTTTTTCCGAACCTCTCCAGGAATCCAGGGATGCAGTATCATGAGGTAAGATAGGAGAATTTGGATCGATGAATGATCTGCTTAATGGTATTTTTATTTCCAAAACTTTTGCGACAAGTTTTTCTGAACCTCTCCAGGAATCCAGGGATGCAGTATTATGAGGTAAGATAGGAGAATTTGGATCAATGAATGATCTCTTTAACCCTTTCACTCCCAAGATCTAATTAGTAATTCTCCTTACTATCTGCCATACAATTCTTATGATGTTAGTTCAGAGAATTTGGTATTGGATCAACTAATAATCCCATGATTGATATTCTTCTCTTTTCTCATCTCCTGCTTACTTGATATTGTATTGACATTGTAAGGAGAAATTCTGTCTTGGTCACTTGTGGGAGTGAAAGGTTAATGGTATTGTCCTTTATTTCCACGGATCTCTTGTTTGCTTGATATTGTACTCATTTGATATCTTAAGGAGAAATTCCGTTTTGGTCACTAATTGGAATTTTCAATGTTTAATAAACTTTTCCATATCACTTAAAAGTTGAAACCTATATTTGTGGTAAGCAAAGTCACTATTTGATTACACAATCTCTAATCGCAAAGTTAATTCATCATCATGAAGACAAGTACGAGTGTCAAAGGAAAATATCAACAAAGAGATATTTGATAAAACACAAAATTCTTGTTGATGTTTCAATATATCTGCTGCAAAGAGCAATTTCAATCTTTCTCAACAACACAGCCTCTCCACATCTTGATGAAATAAAAGTTTAAGTTTCCATGAAAATAATTACCATTTTCAAGCGTCACTGCTCTTGACTCCTGGCCGAGTCCATGACGAAAGGCGGATCCTAAGCCAACTCCAGCCTTGTTTCCTAACAAAAGGGAAAGAGACAATAAACATCAACAAGATCACAATTTGAAACATATAAATCGAGTTACATGGAAGCCACGCATGTAGGAAACAGGATGAACCACACTGGCATATGCTCCCGGTTTCAAACTAAGTGAATCTAATGGCCGCGATAAAATAATTGCACCTTAGATTGATTATAAATCCAATAAATTGTCTCTTCGATAGATCACGTGACCTACGTGGCACACTGGAGAACGAAACCCGTTACTGAACCTGCCATCATAATATCCTTCTGTGGAGTTCGAATCCCGCAATCCCCAATCTAAGAATAGGAATCTTTTAACTCAAAAACCAAAGTTTTTGTTCTTTCATTTCAACTTCTTTCTTGTCTCTCTGAGCGAATACAAACAAAATGATGTCTTTTTGACTAGGTTTTAGCGAAAATATCCACGTGTACCAGAAATCATGGCGAGCAATTTTTGTCTCTAAATTACCGACGAGTTCGGGTTTGATTTGAAAATTACTTTTTCTTACCCTCAGCTGAGACGAATTGCCCGATAGCACTAGCTCCACCAAGGTTATTTTCTTGAAATTGAACTTCGGAGACAATAATGTTATCTTCGAGCACCGACCCACAGCCCATGCAAACAGCATCGCCACGAGCTTGATCGATGTCAATGTCACTTCCACCACAATTTGAACAAACCTGTCCCGACATCTTTTGAAACTACTTTCTTTCTAGTTTCATGGACTATTTGAGCTTGAAGGAAAATATTTCAAAATCCTGTACCGGTCAAACGAATGGCTCTCATGAAAATATAGTGATTTAGTTTGCAAAGACTCGTGGGAGTTGTTTTAGAAAAAACATATGGGAGGGGAGGGCACAAAGTGCCGAATTTGATTGGATGTACACTATGACAGGTGATAGCGTGACTTTACAGCGCGAAATTTGAGGTGCAAGTTGCAGATTTGAGAAAACCGTTGGTTCAAATGCCAATAACAAATTTCGGATCTGTCTTGTGACCTCACTATTAAAAAGAAAATGACCAGTAGCAAAATAATTTGCAACATTGTAACCGAACGACTGTCGTTTAAAATTGGCCAAAATGTTCAAGATTTTCGCTCTTTTCCTTATTATTAGTTATTCTCGAATAGAACAACGGACTGCAAACTAAAACTTTTCACATCTAATGATTAGAATATCTGTGCACTGGGTAAGATAATCTAATAATTTTGGGGTTGTTTAAGATTTTTTTCCTCATCATATGCAGTAGAAGCGGGACAACAGTCAATGAAAAACTTTCTTGTTTATTTTACATCACGCAGGGCTCTTGAAAGCTAAAAAAGGCCCAATTAAACTTAAAAGGCAAACCGCTGCTTCCATGTTTTTCAAGTTTCTAGAAGAATCTCTTCCTATGAAAGCTGCTGATAATTTAAGTTAGTTATTAGCTTGAGGTCTTCAGTCACAATGAGGTATTTTTAAAAGGCTGATCTTCACAGAAGAATGTACGGTGGAAGATCCTTTTATCGCAACATGTTCTACTACGTTACTTTAACACCACTCTCACATTTCACTGTTTCATGAGTGACCAAAAATGAGTATGAACTGAGAGGCGAGAGTAATTTAGGAAATAAATATATTGAAAGATCTGGAGTTTAGGGGCTTATTAAAATGACATTGTCGGCATTTTAATTATGTAATTCTTTTATGTTGAAATACGCCCGAAAGCTAAAGAACCGATGGCGTGGGACAAAAAAATTGACGTAATTGCAACAGGTGCTTTACCTTTTAATTGATGTCAGTAGAAAAACAAATCAATGCTCTCTCGCCACAGTGGTTGCATAACTGTACTTTCCAGCTGTTTTGACCTTCATTTCTCCGGTGACTGTCGTTGTTATTGAGTCATGCCATGGCTTCTTTTCTGTTTAAGGTAGGTGAAGTTTCTTAGTATTTTCCTCAATACATAGATGCACTTTCAATTCACACTGAGGTTGGTTTTCATGTTACTTTAAAATTGCAGCTCGTGTTCGTCTGCGCCACTCTGATCCAGCGGCAGAGATTAGTAGCCGGTAAGTAACATGATAAACTTACCGGTTAAATGCGAAGTTTTAAAACTTCCTCGAGCAGTGGAAAAATAAAAGTAATGATAATAATAGAAAAGGATAGTTTTTGGTCAAGATATGCAAACAAAATTGTTTCTTCCCAAATCCAACTGAATTTTCTCTTCTATTTTTATGTAACCGCGTCTTCCGTTGTAGTAAGGTTAAATTTATCAAGTCGGCCCAACGTCAAATTAGGAACAATTTCAAGATTGGTGAGATGACCTTTCTTAGAAGACTGTCAATATTCGAAGGGTCTACCCTGACTTCAATATCTCCTTATTTGGGTTAAAAAATAATTAAGGAAAAAAGGAGAACTCTTTCGCCGGACGGTATCTTCCGATGATACTCAGATGACGAAACATTTTAAATTAATTTCTTTGTTAACTGATTCCTTCGAAAAGCAAACATACTCTTAGTAATAATAAAAGGGTCGGCGTTCTTAAAGATTTAGCCTAGGTCGGAACTAATCCTTTTTGTTTGACCTGCAGCGACCGCTTTGGAAGCTTGGTAAAAGCAGAAAACATTCTTTTCGTCTATAGCTTCTGAAATTCGTTAGTATCTCTTTAGGAAGTTTTACTGCAAGGAGGCACCAAAATTTCCCGCCGGATATTGGCTGATGAGCATTACATGCATTTTCTATGTAACGCTGACGTAAGGTATTCAACTTCGAATGAAAAAAAAAAGCCTATTAGGTCGAAATTTCCTCAGTTTCTCAGCAGTGGGGTGATTTTTGATACGCATGCAGCGGTGGCTGATTGCGCTTCTTGGAGTTCTCCAAGTTGTAAAAACTCGCTAAGTTGTAAGAGTTTCGCGAAGGAAAAGGGACCAAAATTTTGTGAATGAAGTAAGTATAGCTGATTTGAGAGACCTACACAATTTTGCAGATGTCTCGTACTTTTAGGCGGCAGGTGTTTGTATGATATAAGCTTTTTCTAAAAAAAGAAAAACAAAAACAACAACAAAACAGAAATAAATTGCAAAGGTTCGCAAATTTATTAGTGCTTCTCTTCGTAGGGGTTCAAATTCCCTCACAATTTGTAAAAAAGTGCTACTTTTTCGTTAGAAAAAAGACAATAAAAGTTGGAACACGAGAATGAAACAGGAAACAATAAATTCAAAAGTATTATGTCATGTGTTATTGGTCCCGAAACAGACGATTTTTTTGGCTTTTGGAACCATTCCAAGTGCAAGGTACTCGTCAATGTAGCCAGCCCATGATTACTTTCTTAGAAAGAAGCCGTTGAATTGTGTTTGTTTGATCATTTGTTTCTCCGAAAATTAAGGTTGCTGCGGTAGCTCTGTTTTACTTGCCTTTGTATTTTTGGAACTGAAAAACCGAAAAACAGCTGTTGTTGTTGCTCGAAGTTAATCGTAAATGAGATTATGGAGTTGGGATTCGATTTCGCAAATGAGTTAGGGGTTAAAGTTGCTATGGAGACTGATATCCATCCGAGCTCCCCTACCGTCGCTGGTGTGTGTTTCGTCTTACAAAGACGTAGTTGTTGTTGCTCTAAGAGAAAAGCAGCATCGACTTTGTTTTCGTTGTTTCTTTTCTGCTGTTGTTTTTTTGCTTTTGCTTTTTTGTTTGTATTTTTTATTCAAGAATAATTAAAACGATAACTTTATACCACGAAACATTCACTGACCCATTGCAATTGCCGAACCGGACACCAGATCAACTTCTAGGACTACAACTGTTATATCGTAAGCAGACCGATCTCTATGCATGGAAAAAAGTGCCCATGCCAGGAGCGGGCTTTTAGAAGAACGCAAGAAAAGTTTGTAAATTTCCAACCAAAGCTATCAGATCTACAAACGAACCACGTGGGATATTTCGCTAATAAAACGACACAGAGTGTACTCTACTGCTTTTATAATAAAGCTATGAGTTTATCGGTACAATGAAAAATAGGTTTGAGTCCAGTTAGAGCGGCTGTGGTGTTTCAGTCGTACCAGAATTGATACAAAGTATAAAAAACTTTTTCTTTTAAACTTAGGTTTTAATGAGTGCGCCGATTCAACCCAAAACAATTGTCATCAGCATGCCAGTTGCAGTGATTTACCCGAAGGTTTTTCGTGTAAATGCAAGGCCGGCTTCAAAGACATCGGGAATACACCGGGAGTACAGTGTGAAGGTAATCTTTGTATTATCAACTTTGATTGATGAAGACCGCTTTTCGAATGAGTGTCCAAATCCAAAATCAAAATAATAACAATGGCCAATCAGAGCGAAGCAGAATGACATTAAAAGCCAATCAGAACTCAAAGTAAATATAAGCAACAGCCTGAAGCGCGGGAAAAGGCAAGCAGAAAAGTGGTGATTGGTTTTAGCTTTGGCGCGAGTTTACTTAGCCAATCAGAAAGCAAAATCACCAGGCAAAACTAGTACAATCAAGGTATACTTTCAACACTCAGTTTAGAATTACTCAAATGGTAGTGGGTAAGAGAAGAATAATTTGTCGCATCAAAGTTTACTTTCTCTCAGTGGACTGATAGCGTAATAACAATAACGTTGAATCTATTGACTGTTTATGTAGCCCACCTCTTTTCTGGAGATTTTAAAACAGCTAGAATCATTATCAAAATAGATTTAGCTACATTGCAATACGCAACTTCCGTCTTTTGGACAAGTGCGGGTGTAACATTTGTCAACTGAACTCTTCAAAATTCCTCGGGGACATAATGGAGGTCTAAATGAAACTAACGGCGTTGCCAGGATCTTTTGTCGTGTTGCTGAGCTCTTTTGGCCAACCTTAAAACCTTTAAAGTGCACTCTGTTACTTACTGATCATTGTCTTATCACGGCCAAACTTTATCAAGGAGTAAAGTTTCTAACTGGAGTGCACGTTTTGTCTTTTTCTCCCAAGATGTGGATGAATGTAGCACCGGAAATAATAATTGTGACAACGATGCTGCCTGTGTTAATGCAGTAGGGACATACACTTGTAACTGCGGCTCCGGGTTTACTTGGGAAGCAAAATTAATGAAATGCAAAGGTAACTAATCAAATATTAAAGTAAATAAAATATTTTGGTTGTATTAACCCTTTTCACCCTAAAATTGGTATTCATATTCTCCAAATTGTTCTCTTTACATTTCTTGTGGTACTGACAAGGAAGATTTGTTTGAAAAATCAGGAGCTTCTTAAATTGGTGATAATTTCCTTTACTCTCATGACCTCTGTATTTGATTCAAGGGTGATGCCGCAAGTAGAAATTAAAAGCTAGTCTCTCTTAGGGGTGGAAGGGTTAAGGGTAACAAGTTGCTTCGGATAGACATCTTAGCTTATCATTTTTTATGGGTCTTACGTTTTGTCGAGGGGACTGTTTAACGGGGCTAACCTCAGAAATTCCTCTATGAACCTACAATCTAGAGGGATGTTTTTTGGGACACCAAATACCTCCCCAGCCCCATCTCAATTTGGATGTGGCAAGGTGGCTTTGGAGAGGGGCGAAAGAATATCATGAGTTTTTGAAGAAGCGTCCTGGCCAATTATGTCTGGGAGTGTAAGCTAAATCGCCCTCAGAATTAGGAATTATTAGACTTATCTCTTGGTAGATAAGCTACGAGTTATCACGTGCCAAGCATTAGCGGTGTCTAACAGGGTGTTTACGGTAACCAAACAATATTTTCTTCAATCACTGCTATATGTTTTCTTTCAGTTACTTGTAAACTTCGGTGAGAAGTTCACAAGTTTTGCAGTAGATGTGCTC